TACATGCTAACTTCTCACATTAACATCGTGTTAATCCCTCACATTCATAGCCACTTTCGTGCCCTCATCGAGAAGGCCGCTCGCCTGTCTTACAGTTACATGCTAATTTCTCACATTAACATCACTAGCCCCGACCACTTATTTATGACCCTTGAGCTACACCCATTTCAAACCTTTTAAAACAGTTTGCCTCAGCAGCAAACCATCGCTTTCCCACCTGATAATGGACGCTTGTGTTGCGCCCGAAACGTCGTGATTTATTTTATTTTATACCTACGTGACTTTACCGAAAGAACCAAAGATAATTATCTAACATCTATTTCGACCACGTAGTTCGTGAAGCCTTCAGTAGCTGTACCGGAGGAATTTCCATCTGGTACAGATACAATGGGAGGCTGATCGATGCCCGGTGCGGTCAAGGGATGGCTCGCTATTGGTCAACCACATTATGTATGCCGATGACCTGGTAATTGCGGCTCACTCAGAGGAGGAGTTGGAGGCGCTGCTGCTGAAACTGGAGTGTGCCACTAAGAAGTGGGGCCTTACCATCAGCCCCACCAAAACGACGCACCTGTCTGGGTATTTTGTACCATCGGCCACTCCACCCCCACAACTCCCAATCGTTGATGGAGCAGTTGTGGAGAGAGTGGAGAGTTTCCCATACTTGGGCAGTGTGCCCATGACCAGCTCCGGTTTAACAGCAGAGGTCTCACTCCGAATCAGTCGAGCGGCATTATCTTTTCATCAGTTGTGTAACGCTGTGTGGAAGCTACCTGGTCTGTCGCTTCGCACGAAGCTTCGGGTCTTCTCGGCCACGGTCATTCCCTCCCTTCTCTATGCTTGCGAACCGTGGACTCCCCTAATGGAACATCTTCGCCGGTTAGAAACATTTAGGTTGGCCTGCCTACGATCAATCCTGGATTTAACCAGGCTGGATTGTGTAAGGAGCTCACAAATCCTCGAAAGATCTGGACAAAGTCCCATCGGTGAGCTCCTCCGGCAGGCAAGGCTGCGTTGGCTGGGCCATGTAGCCCGCATGCCCAATCACCGCATACCCAAACAGTTTTTGTTCGGCCGGATCGAGGGGGCTAAACGGGCGCGGCACGGGCAAAAGAAGAGATGGAGTGATGTGGTACAGGAGGATGTGGAGCTGAGTGGACTTGCCGATGATTGGTACCAGCGGTCTCAAGATCGACTTCTGTGGAGGAGGCTCGTGAAGGACGCTACTGGGCAGTTGGAGGCAGTCACCCTCCAACAACAACAGAGGGCGGAGGAGCGACGCTCACGTCAACGAGCGGAGCGCCGGGTGGCTAAAGCACAGCAGGTTGGCACAGTAGGGGGCACAGGTGGTGCATCAGCCAGTCGTCTCAGTCAGTCGACCCGTGGCACCTGGGTCTGCCCCGTGACCTCCTGCTAGCGGGCGTTCGACACTTCACGTGGCCTCAAGGTGCACATAGCCTGGCACAAGCGTCGCGGTGACGTCACCGCCACTTAGTGGCGAATGGCGGTTGTTGTTGTTGTTGTTGTTGTTTTAAACACACTTCGTAATATACAAACAATGACGGTGACTATCTAGAGGTCTTGTCAACGTGTGGGTACTCACCTTAGGCGGAGCTCGACGTGTATATTTGGGGGGGGGGGGGGGGTGGAGGGAGGGGTTCGCTTTGTTCCTCACATGAGGAATCGCGGGTGCATATAATTAATTACTTTTTTTACTTTAATTGTCAACTACTGAAAATAAATTAATTAAGGTGCCCAGGTTTTTTTGGGGGGAGGGGGGGGCGTTGCCCCCTCCCCCCGTGCCCCTCCGCAAACTCCGCCCAAGGCACTCGACATCTGTTCCTGCAGTCGAAGTAAACATTCTGACTTTTCCAAGGCGTCTAGCGCCACGTGAAAGAGTAGGCCAAATACACTTCGGTGTGACTCTCTAGAGATCCCTCCAGTAGACGGCCTTCCACCAGCAGTGGCGTGAGCAAGGCAATTCCAGGGCTGCACCTTCACAGCCACTTTGTCAATCCACTGCTGGATGAGGGCCTTCCCTTGTACATCGTGTCAATCGTGGGGGTCGTTTGGCCATACTTCACCACACTGGTCGGCGGTGTGCATTGGTCAAGAGGGAGGGTGCGCCAGGGCAGGATATGATACAAACTCACTGCCGATGTTAGCCACTGACAGAAATCGAACTCAGATGGCCAGGTTACGTATTGCAGTGCACTTCACGAGAAATAATTTTTATCTGGCAGCGGAATTTTGAGCGGCGTCGTTTCCATCTACAATCTAGAGAGGGCCTCTAGAGGGTCTTTGGCCTACTCTTACACGCTGGCCAGATGTTGTGTAAGAAGTGGGACTAACCACACTTTACCCCACCATTCCAGTCTAGAAACTGCTGGGAACCCATTTGTCTTTTGGGGTGCCGCGGTGGCTATGAGATGTTAACTACCTCGCCTGGTATTAGGAGGTCGTGGGTTCGATCCCGACCCGAACGCCTCCTGTATATTTTGAGTCTTTTTTCCCCTCCACATTTAGCATCAACATGACGAGTTTAGAGTTTTTGACACTGCTATAAATCTCCACGTGATAAGCCACTTCGTTGAGCTATCATTTGTAGGCCCATGTCGCTTCTGAAAAATATTTTAATAAAAAAAAACAGTTTCGTTTATTTTCACTGGTGGGTGGACAGAGGGAGTGGTGGTGGTGGTGGGGGAGGTGGAATTTGAGAAACTTTCAACATCGTCTCCACTGCCACGCAGGGATGGGTGGGGGTACGCAATCGAACCGGCGACCGTCTGGAACGCAATTTCGGCGTGATAACCACTGAGCCCCCTGGATGTGAACTCTCGACCCCCGCGGGGAAGTTGCGCACAGCGCAAACAGCCGTGAGCAGGCGCGCATCGCGCGCGCTCACGGCAAGGAGCACGCGCGCATTACGCAACGCGCCTCAAAGCCACTTTCGCCGACGTCAATCTGAAGAAAAATAAAATATACAACAACCGCTCTGTTCTCTGCTGCGCGCCGCTCAAAATTCCGCTGCCAGATTATTTTTTTCTCGTGAAGTGCACTGCAATACGAACCTGGCGATCTGCTGTTCGATTCCTGTCAGTGGCTAACGTCGACATCGAGTTCTATCATAACCTGTCCTCTGCTAATCTTGATTTGAAGCTTTCGTGACTGCAGGAATCCATACTCTCTGGTTCTTTCGGTAAAGTCACGTAGATAGAAAAAATAATCATATTAATGTTTCTATCTACGTGACTATCCTGTGCTCTCTGCTGCGCGCGCAGACACACACCACCACTATCACGGCTCTTACGCGCTCCCCGACCCAAGTATCGCAAAGACATTCGAGTGGAAACAATGCGATGTCATGCTCCTTGTTTGTTTGCTCGTTGAGTAAATGTGCGCTGTGTGTGTGCAGTGTGTCCTCACGGTTAGCGCTACGCTGCGCTACGAAACCCGGCGAACCGAGTTCGATACCCGCTCACGGCCAACACCGGTGACGATTACCTGAACCGGTCCTGGGCCTCCATTAGGTCGTCTCAGCCCCAAATGAGTACCTGGTGCGGTGTGTAAACATCGCCACTGGGGGAGACAAATGCGGCCGGGTGTGGAGTTGGACACCTAACCCCCTCGTGTGCCTTTGCCGGCCTTCACAGGTGCTCGCTAACAGCACTTGCCCCGGGAGTCTTGACAAGGCTATACGGGAGAGTCTTTGTCTTGTGTGAGAGAGCAGTTCGCGTGCTACGAAACCCGGCGACCCGAGTTCTATTCCCGCTCACGGTCAACGCCAGTGACGATTACCTGAACCGGTTCTGGGCCTTCCCTAGGTCGACTCAGCCCCAAATGAGTACCTGGCGTGAAATGTAATCATCCCCACTCTGGAGATAAAGGCGGCCGTGGTGCTGGTCACCCCCCCCCCCCACCTACCCCCCTCGCGTGTCGTGCAGGCCTTCATAGGGTGCTCACTAACAGCACTTGCCCCAACAGCCTGTTCAACGCTATCCGGGGGATCTTTGCCCTTGAGAAAGTCGGGGGCATGTTTTGTCATGCGCGCCACTTTGAACACAGGCGACTGTTGAGGAGCGGACGCGGGATAGATTAGTGGTACATCGGGAAGTCACGGAATGTTTTTGAGGGTCCCGTTTTTGCACGTTTGTAATCGTATTAGGCCTCTGAAATGGGATTAGGCCAGGGATTTTTCTTTTTTTTGCGAAGCCCTGCATCGGCGCAGAGAGAATTCTTCTTTCGAACTTTCTAGATTTATTTAGTTCCCCAAGTAGCTTGCTTGCCGTTGCCTCCTTTGTCATTTCACTTCGTTCTTTTGTTTGGACGACTTTCTGCAGATAAACGCCCGCATATCGCCCCGCTGTGCAGATGCCATGCGAATCCTCACCGCTGTCGGTAACGATTCGGTGAATGCAAACGGCAGGTTTGCGAGTTCAAATTTAAGCTCGGGGGGAAGTCAACGGGTGTCGCCCAATGGATATAATCACCTCCGCCATAGGAATGTGGAATGTCCACAACTGGCTGAGACATGACCCGTCACTAGAAGGGGATGATGGCCGGAGGGTCATGAATAATGATGGAGTGACTGGAATGGAACTCGTCTGAGAGCGCGCCCGCTGCGGAGAATGGAGCGAATTGAAGTCCCCCACTTAAGTCGCTATGCCCAAAGTTTTAATTGAACAGTTTTTTTGTTACTGTTTCATAATTAACCAGCAGGGTAATGTTTTATGATTATTGACATTATAAAGCTGGTTTGAATAAAAACATAAATACACGTGACTACATTTTGTCATGGAATTAGCAAAAGAAGTTGTCAATGATGCAGGGCAGCAAGACAAATGTCACCACTTGAATGGGTCTCAGAGGTAGCTCTACGACATCTGCTTCCGCGGGCCGTTCTCTAGCACGAAGGGTCGCAGCTCCGTGAGAGATCCGAATGGGGTTCACCGTCTCGTGCCATGACACCGACATCACAAAACGGGATTTTTTTAAAAAAAAATCTCATAAAAAAACATTATACATATTTGGACACGTGTTGAGAAGAGACAAAGACGCGACTAGAAGGGCTATCGAGATGCCCCGGGTGTAGTGGGGCAGAATGAGTAGCGGGAGGAAAGCGAGTTGAGAAGGCGGTGGATGCCCTCGGGTCTGCATGCGACTCGAGAAGAGAATAACCCCGCCATGAATAAATAACGGAACTTCTGGCTTCGACGAAGAAGACTCTGCTGCTTGAATAGTCATGCAATGCATAGTCACGCAATGAATAGGCATACAATGAATGAGCTCACAATGAATATTTATGCAATGATTAGGCATTCAATATATATACATACAATACATTTGCATACAATTAATAGGCATACAATTAAGTCATACAATTTATTTCCATACAGTTACATTTCGTACAATCACTAAGCATGCAATGATTACGCTTACAATGAATAGTAATTCTATGAATAGGCATACAATGAATATGCATACAATGCGTAGGAATACAATGAATATACATACACTAAGTTTGCATGCAATGAATGGCATACAATGAATAGTCACACCGGAACAAGACGCGTACAGTATAGAGGCGCGATTGCCGTACACGCTGGCTGGGGCAGGACGCGTCGCTGGGCAAGACGATCAGAATAATCTAAATCGTTATTTTAAACTGTAGGATGAATCCGATGAGCTATGAAGCTCTTGTGCACAGATGACCAGTAGGGGCGCGTCAGCAAGTTACAACAGCAAATACTGCAACACAAAATATATGAGGGTCAAATACGGAGGGGAAATAGTAAGCACGTCACTCAATATACACATATATATTTTTAAAAAAAACGAATCGTTATATAAGTCCGACTTTTTGAACACTAAATGTAAGCTTGGGCATTGCAGCAAGCACACCAAGACAACACAATCACAGGTCATCCTCGCAGCAGCGGCGACGTTTGGCTGCTGGTCATTGAACAAAGGAGGTGGTCACTGCATCGCGTGGCGCTTCCAGACGCGCTTCTGCGGCCGTCTGGAACGCTCTTGCGATGTTAGGAGGCCCTTGGGAGCTTTGTACTTTCAAATCGTCTAGATTGAAACATCACTTCTCTAGAACTGCTCTCTTAGTCTAGCTTGTTGTCCTCCTCCCAGCCCCCTACACCCCCGCGGCACCTCCGATTAGTACGGCTGCCTACGCACGGCGCGAAAGAAGTGCAAGCAACAATACGTTCATACGTTCAAGTTGAACACTCGACAGCACACGGGGGTTAAACATCGAATTAAACAAATCAGTGGTCGAGACTAACAACGGAGTGGCGGCCAACGGAGTCGAGAGAGGAAAGAGAGAGAATGCGGAGGTGGTGGGGGGGGGGGTGGTGGTGGTGGGGGGCATCCACCACCAGCGCATGGCGGAAACAAAGCAACGAATGCACAGGTGCGTCGCGGGTTCTGTCGTCGAGTAGAGATGGTTGGGGCGGCTCGGGTAGGGGTGGGGGGGAGGCGTTTCATCCAGCAGAGCTTGAAAAGAAGGGGGGGGGGTGGGTCGGGCGGGGGTTCCTCTGGCTCAGCAAAGAAGAATTATTGAGGAATTCGAGTGTTGATTGTGGTCCTGGGGGACTCCACCAACCCCCCCTATCCCTACCCTCCCCAGATTGTGCGGCGCGAAGCAATAAAGCGGCCGCTGTGTTGGCTTCGGAAAGTTTTTTTTTTGTCTTGCAGTGAACCGTCAAGACATATTTCGCGATCAAAATGTGATTTCATGGCAAGTGTCGCGCGCTCTTCTGAAATCGTAATTAGTGTTGAGTGGGGGGGGGGGGGGAGCGGTGGTGCAGCGGTTAGCGCTACGCAACCCGGCAACCCGAGTTCGATTCCCGCTCACGGCTAACACCGGTGACGATTATCCGAACCGGATCATGGGCCTCCCCTAGGTCGACTCAGCCTCAAATGAGTACCTGGTGCGGTGTGTAAACATCGCCACTGGGGAGACAAAGGCGGTCGGGCGTGGTGCTGGCCACCCACCCCCTCGTGTCCCGTGCCGGCCTTCATAGGTGCTCGCTAACAGCACTTGCCCCTACAGTCTGTAAAGGCTATACGGGGGATCTTTGTCTGTGTGAGTGTTGTACCTTCACAATGCGCGTGCGTCAGTCCGTCTGTAATGTACAGATGGGGTGGCGGCAGCAGCAGCGATGAAATGGTTAGCAGATTGTGCCACAGTCCAAATGACCCGAGTTCAATTCCTAGAAATGCACAGTGGCAATTAGTTCCATGATTGGGCCAACACTTTTGAAACCTTGGCTACAATTGCATCGTGTTGACCACTGCCGGTGGTGAACGTGGAGAAAAATACACCAATTATAATCAGCAGCAGAACATGGTCAATCCACTGCTGGATGAAGGCCTCCCCCAAGCAGCTGCCGTCTCTTGTGAGCCTACGGCGACGTAATAACGCGCCTGGCCCCTGCACACGAGCTGATTCCATCGCTCCATCTCCTCGGTGCACGCGCTCTGTCTCTCTCTCTGACGCATTCCATTCTTTGATTGCCACTCCATTATTTGCCTTGACCATCGACCACCGTATCCCTTGCAGTCAAGTGTTCTGCCCAAGCCCAGTTACTTCTCTTGATACAAAAAAAACTGAACACATTCGTCAATAACACTGTGGCCTTAAAAGGGCAAAAATATATAATAGGCGACGTTTCAGGCAATGGCCCTTCTTCATATTACATAGAGAGGCCAGAGAGATAGAGCCAAAGAATTTGGCTATTGGCCAGAATGTCGAATGTTATTTTATTTCTTTTTAATGCCATAGAGTTATTGACCAGTGTTGTTGTTGCCAATTGTTCTTGTGCACCACTACCAACGAAGCACCACATAATTAGTTTTACTTCTCGTTCTAGTTTGTGTCGTGTCATCAAACGAGTATGCTCTCTAATCCATCTCTTCCTCTTTCTGTCTCTCAATTTCATTCCAAGCATGCACTTCCATGCTTCTTTGTACTTTATCAATCCAAATTGCTGTTTTCCTTCTGTCTCAATGTGCCCCTTTATCATTATACGTGCCGAATAACGTTTGCCGAAGCTGAAACGCAGATGAATTTACGTTAACAAGGTCACAACTTCAATAACACATTCCTTATTACTCTTTGAGTCTTTCGATAAAGTCACGTAGGTATAAAATAAAATAAATCACGACGTTTCGGTTTGAAATGGGTGAGCCCAAGGGTCATAAAGAAGTGGCCGGGGCTAGTGATGTTAATGTGAGAAATTAGCATGATGTTAATGTGAGACATTAGCATGTTAATGTGAAATCGAAGAGTGGTGCAATCCAAAACGGCATCTGAGACGAGGGCACGGAAGTGGCTATGTTGATAATCTCTCTTATATCAAAGCGTATTATATTTACTTGCTTATACTTGTACCTCGTTGACTACTATCCGTGAAAAGTAGTGAACATCGAGATGAATATATTCTGGACCATCATCAGCCATGATCAGTCCACTGCTGGATGAATGCTTCTAACCCCGATCTCTATCTCTCTGGCCTCTCTGTGTGCTGTGAATAAGGATTGCTGCCTGAAACATCGCTTATATATTTGTAGTGGATTCACTTGAGAGACACACAAATTCAGGAGGCAAGAAGTTTATTCCACGACCACCACGGGGTAACTACATAATCGGTAACCACCACGGGGTAACTACATAACCGGTAACCACCACGGGGTAACTACATAACCGGTAACCACCACGGGGTAACTACATAACCGGTAACCACCACGGGGTAACTACATAACCGGTAACCACCACAAGGTGACTATGTAAACGGGTCAGGTCAGTCGGCACACTGCCTGACCCACGATGCCGAGCACGAAGACCAGAGACCGAGGAGAAGACACAGCACGGCAGATTCCGTTGCACCAGACAGCCCCGATGGGACCCCGGGAGCTCCCTTTTATACCCCCCAGCGTGTCCCCGCTCCGACCTCGGCCACGCCCCCTTCTGGAACCTACTAGAAGGTTCTGGGTCACCTTCCACGTGTCTTCTGCCTGGCTCCGCCCTCGGCCACGCCCCCTTCTGAAACTCACTAGAAGGTTCTGGGCCCTACAACACGTGTCCCCTCTGTCACCTTTGGCCTACATCCTCACCTTGCCCTGTCACGTGCCCTTGCCAGCCAATCGGGCTACTACGTCCTCAAATGCCTCCTACTCTGCCAGCTCCCAAAACCATGCTCCCCTAGAGGCCTCTTGCATGACATCGTGTACTCTGCTGGCAGAGAGGGCTACTACACACGCAATTCCTCTCTCTGTCGGTAGATGTCGATAGGCGCCGTAGGGACACATTATATGTCACTACATATTCATCCCTTTTCCGTAATTAAGGCCACGCAGTGTCATTACACAAATGCGTCGAGTTGTTAGTAATTACATGTTTAATCGATTGCATATCTTCTCACACGGTAGATTTTATTCATAATAACAACAATCATAATTTACAGCCCTTAGTCAATCCACTGCTGGATGAAGGACTCCTGTCTCCCCCACCCCCAGACACACCTCCCAATGCCCTATCAATCATGGCGGGTCTTTGACCGTATACTTTCGGCACACTTGTTCCGCACGGGTTGTTGGAGGAGGGAGCGGTTCGGACATCACGCGCCACTGATGTTAGCCGTGGCGGCGATGGCGGGCGGGGCGGGGGGGGTCGAACCCCTCCCTTCCCCCCCGTCTCAGCAGGGGGGGAAGGGGGGGAAGGGGGGGTCGCTGCGCAGTGCACAAACAGCTGCCTGCGGCCATGCCATTTCCCACAGTCCATAAACACGCGAAGTTGTCAAGCGGCAAGGAAATCCGATTCACGTAAGGAACAAATGTGGACAATTGGCTGGGGAGTCCCTGAGGGATTGTGTCATAACAGCGCGGGAAGGAGTCGGGGCTGTTGTTGTTGTTGCTGTTGATGACTGTGCTACGAACCACGCGATCCGAGTTCGATTTCCGGTCACGGCCAACATCTAGTGGCGAATTACATCCCAACTATTTTTGAACCGCCACCACCGCCTCACCCGCCGCGCCAGCATTCGGCAACCCACACTGACCAGCGTGGTGAAGTATGGTCAGACAACTGCCATGAACGGACAGGGGCAGCCGACGATCTGTCGCCGTGACATTTGGTTGAATCCACCTTGAAGCCCCCCAAAAAGTGGTTTTAAAACCGAGCATTCGCGCTTTGCTGTTGCACCACGGAGTTCCCCGTCGCCCTGTTACTCGCGTGAATCCTTTCACGAGTGGAAATTAGCCTCTGCTACGAAAATAATATATCGCATATATGAAACAATGTGAGTATGCGGGCTCGGGCAGAACGAGGTTGCCAGATGAAAGTTCTTTAGAACTGCTTTTCGTGTGCAGTTTGTTGTGCTTCCCCGCACCCTCCGATTAGCACGGTTGGCTACGTACGGCGCGAAAGAAGTTCACCGTGCATACACATCCGAAGGAGGGATGATAGCAGACGATTGGTCAGGAATTGGTGAGGGAGTGGCAGCCAAGGGATGGAACGATTTCATCGCTCCATCTCCACCCTTGACGCGCTTCGCGGTATGATGATGATGATAAAAAACAACAATACATTTGGGATGGGGGGGGGAAACCACAGGTGGCAGCCCAATCCGCGTCATCTCAGCGTCACGCTCCACCACCACCACCAACCCCTCCACCTCCCCCCACCCCTCGCTGTGAAGTTGGATGGCAGTGAACTCTACACGGACATCAGATTCCAATTAACCAGTGGCCGTAGCCCGGCATCTATTTCCCTTGAAGGGAGAAAGGGCGAGGGGTGAGGTGGAGGGGAGGGTGCCTCGGTGTTTTTGTGGAGTGAGCGCACGGCCAGACCCGCGCGGGGTGGGTCTCTCGTTCTCATCCTCAGCTTGTTGTTGTTGTTGTCTGCTCGTTTTACATGCCTAATATGTCACAGTTGCTGAGCACAGCCACCAAATACCCAAAGAACGCCTGGCGGCCAGTAACAACCGACACTTTTAGATTTGTGATTGATAAATTGGTTATTTTGGACCTGCAGATGACGATAGAACTAAACTTTTAAGCTAATTTTTATTTAACCAGGTAAGGCTCGCTGAGCATTTTTTTTTTCAGACGCAACCTATCACAAATGATAGCTGAACGAAGTGGCTTATTACGTGGAAATGTACAGCAGCCAAACAACTCTAAACGCCTGACGTTGAGTCTAAATGTGGAGGGAAAAACCGGAGGACCCGGACACGCAAACTCCAAATATACAGCAGCAGCAGCAGGCATCAGGGTCGGGATCGAACCCACGACCTCCTGCATACCAGGCGAGGTAGTTAACATCTCAAAACCGTGGCGAGATGTTCATTCAGAGGCGCTCGTTTATTTTGCATGAGGGAATCTGCGGCGGGCGAGCGGACCAGTCCTTTGCGATAATATTTGGGTTGTCTTGATTTTCCCTTGGGTCGTGAGTTTGCCTTTCTTTCAATTTATCTGAATTAAGTGTTGTTTGGTCGATTTAAAAAAAAGGTTGCTAAATTGATGGAATATATTTACTGTGTTGAACTATCGCCGTGAGCCATGATCTACCCACTGCTCGATTGAGGCCTTGCCAGGCCGTCGCGTTCGCTCACATCCATGCGAAGCCACAGTCCGCGTGGTTCCTGCACACGTGCTGATCGCATTGTGTGCTCCCTCCGTTTGCTGCCAGTCTATCGTTAGGCTCGACCATCCCTTCTAGAAACGCGTTCTGCCCTGCTCAGGCCCAATTACTCTTTTAAAAGTCAATGTCTCTTACTTGCCTCCATAAGGAAACTATCACACTCGAGGCCAGCACACACATTTAGACCTTTTTCAAAAGTTTTCACTTTATTTATTGTTCCCTACGAAATTATGTTAGCACTGAGTAGATTGTATTCTTGGTTCTTTCGGTAAAGTCACGTAGAAGGGAAACAATACAATAATAAAAATATAAAACAATACAATTCTCACGACGTTTCGACTGCAACACAAGCAGCCATCATCAGGTGTGAAAACCACAGCAAGAAAATTTGAAAAAAGTGGCGGTTATTTTTAACGTTAGCACCACGGAGAGCGATTTGGCAGTTATGCAGATGGACGAGTCCATCTATGTTCGGAAAAGAGGAGGGGGGGAGACGAAAATAATGGATGCGGTCTGAAAGCCACCGTAAGCGTGAACAATCAATTAAGACCCGAAATGTTTTTTCAAATC